ATATATTAATAATTGTCAATAAAAAGAATTTTACATTTTCTCTCGAACTAATTAATAAATGTTCTGATAATGTCTGCTAGAATATGAATCTTTCCAATTTCTTTCTTTTTCCAAATCTTGATTTATAGAGATTATTAATTTTTTTTCTTCACAAACACTACAGTTTGCTTTCATGTTGTAGAGGAGTTATAACTCTGACTAAATAATTATAATGCCCCTAACATTTATATATACAAAAATACTCATAAAAAATGAGAAACAGCAAAACGAGTCTTATTTATTATCAGGTCATCCCATAAGTTCTGTCCGAATTTTAACTTTTTGTTAAAACGAACGAAATTTAAAGAGTATTTTATAATGTCTAATGGAGCTGAACATTATTTTTATGTTTAGATGCGATTAAACTGATCAAATTTTATTTCAGAGAACAATAAAATTAAATTTTGTTTGATTAAAACCCTGCTAACATGGAAGTACTCAAGAATCATTTGAGGCACATAATGCTTTATGAGTTCAAGAAAGGAAACTCAGCAGCCGAAGCGGCTAGAAACATTCACTCAGTTTATGGAGAGGAATGTGTGAATGAAAGAACTTGCAAAAGATGGTTTGCAAAATTCAGAGGTGGAGATTTCACCCTTGAAGATGAAGATCGAACTGGACCTCCAGTTGAGTTTGATGAAAAGCTTCTTGAAGCAGCCCTTGAAGAAAATCCTGCTTTATCAGTTGAGGAATTGGCAGTGGTTCTCAGTTCAAACCATACAACTGTTTATCTTCAACAACTTGGAAAAGTTTCTAAACTTGGAAAATGGGTGCCTCATGAATTGTCTGAAAACAACATCAAATCCCGAGTTGACATCTGCTCTTCTCTCCATTCTCGCCAACTTGTTTCGCCTTTTTTTGGATAGACTTGTGACTGGTGACAAAAAATGGATCTTTTATCAAAATGTTAAGCATCGTAGACAGGGGCTTGGATAAAGGAGAATGACCCCAGCCACAGCCGACAAGGGAACTTCGTGGGCAAAAGGTTCTTCTTTCAATCTGGTGGGATCATCAAGGAATAATCTACTTTGAATTCTTACCACCTAATGCAACAATTAATGCTCAAATATACTGTCAGCAATTAGAGCGTTTGAACCAAGCTTTGAGGAAAAAAGACCTGCTCTAGTGAATCCAAAAGGGGTGATGTTTCATCAGGACAATGCGCAACCCCACACAGCAAGAATCACGTCACAAAAGATCGAAGAACTTGGTTGGGAGAAAATTCCTCATCCACCTTATTCTCCTGATCTTGCTCCTTCAGAAGACCATTTGTTTCGTAGCTTACAGAATCATTTGGAAGAAACTTTTGTAACACAGGAAGTGGTTAAAACTGACATTTGTGAGTTCTCCGAATCAAAGCCAAAAAAATTTTACAGTAATGGAATTAGTAAGCTTTTTAATAGATGGAAGGAAGTCATAGATAATCAGGGAAAATACATTGTTGATTGAATCTGTAATTAAATGTAACATTTGGTCACTTGTTTTCTTTATTCAAAATTTGGACAGAACTTATGGGATGACCTGATATATGATTGCTATCTGATGTTGAAGAAACAAGAGACTGTAATGCTGGACAAAATTGTAATTCTATCTTTCTTATGACTCACTTGGTTTAGTTGTATTGAAATATTTGCTTTTCTATTTATTTGATCCAACTTTAAAAATTTGAGCCACCCTTGTACAAATTAATTGAAACAACTGCTTTAGTTTCCTTTCTTTAACCATACAGCCAGTTTAAGACTCACTGGAGTGACAGGGTGTAATCGATTTCTATTTTTCCTCAGATTAGGTCATTTGCAGTGGTGTGCAGTAATATGAATCTATTATCAGAGTGTATGGTGAAATTTGTTTGGCCTTGAAAAATATTGCATCATCCGTGATTGCATCGGATTTTTATCAATCCCAGACACTATTGTCTTGACTGTCAATTAGTTGTCCTATGGCTATTACTCCAAGGAATTGTATGAAAATTGTAACACTTACCAGTGAGCAAATCAAAGTAGTATACACTGATCTAGAAACTCTCCTGATTAAATCCAAGTGAGAATCTGTGGTCAATCTTCTGGAAAGGACATACAAAGTATTAACATGTGCACTAGGTCATGTTTCATTAGAAAAATATGAAAAAAAAGTAAATAATAACCAAATTATTCATTTTGTTTCAATTAATTTGCACAAGGGTGTAAGCAACATGACTACTGGTCAAAATCATAAGTTGTTGATAAAAAAATTGTGTATTTTTTTCCTGAATTATTTTTTATGATATTAATTTTAATAGTTAATTATATTATAATGTAACTGTAAGTTCTATGTTGACAGATTTTTCTCTTGTACTTCTCACATGTAGAATTCTCTTCTGGCTTCTTTCTGTTCAAAAATTTAAATGCAACGTCATTTGTTATCTTCTGTTTTCTTCACTCCTCTTCTTTTATTATTCTCTCTCTTTAACATGTTGGCTTCCTTGTTGTCCCAGGGTCACAACACTATATCTTAAATTTTGTTATAGATAAATGAGGAAAACAATGAGTATAAAGAAAGTAACTCCATTTTGTGCTGAATGTGAACATAATCCTTCCCTTTGCATTGAGTGTTTCAATAGGAGACCTATAAAATTAGTAGAATCAATATAACACTTCCTAGCCGTGTAGCAATACATGCTTATATATATATTTATATTTATATCTATTCAAGAAATCAGGCATTAGAAATATGATATTATTTTTTTATTAGGAATGTGATTTCTATTAGATTAGTTGTAGCTTTTTTTTTTGGTTTCCTAAGTAAATAAAGTATACTTTTTTTTATTTGCATAATGTTTTGCCAATTAAATTTTCTGATGACTCAGTCTTCTAGTTTACCTAAATGCATTCTACAGATTTGTGGATGTAAAAATAAAAATGAATGAACCCCAAATAACAAAATGACCCCAAATAACAACAGTAGAAATTCCAAAAGGAAAACCAAATAAAAGACAAAAAAATAAAAAAATATTTAATTTTAAAAAAATATGTGGTTCTGGTGTACCATGATCTCATAAGCAATCAATCATAGCATCTCACTCCCAATAATCCTTGTAGAAAAGAAATTGGAAAATAACCCACCGGAGTGTCATGTGGGCCTTGTAGACATACCACTACAACTCTCCAATGGGTCATGTGGGAGTCAACATGTTTTTTTTCTCATATTCTCTCAAACTCATTAACCCCCTTGCATCTTAGTGGCTGTATTGCCTTGCTTGGGGTGAAAGGATTTTAAAAAATATGACTTGATATGACATGAAATTGAAAACCATGTTGTTCTTTGTGGCTAGAATTACATTTGATATTACTTTATCGATATTACTTTATATGAGGTCATTTATAGTTTAGTGTGCAGTCTACCTGTACTTTAACACTTCAATGTGCAGCCTACCTACACCACAAGAACTGTATACTGCATGATGATAAAAATAAATTGAATAATGATTTATCATTAATAATATACACTTAATCATACAAATCATAATCATCAGAATCATAATAATCAAAAAAGGCTAAATAGTACATTAATGATCATCATTATGATGGAATTCATTGGTGCAACAGGGTTAAGGTTTAGGGTTAGGTTTAGTACTTAGGTTAAATGGGTAAAAATAAGGAAATCACATGAAAGTTAGACTGCACACTAAAGTTCATTTTATATTGACTGGTCAGGAGCACTCAGGTCAAAAGGGTATAAAAATTTAAACACAGGTAATAAATTCATACCATTATAGAATGCTAAAGGTCATTTCATAATATAGACTATAAAAACTGTGGTACACCACACATTTAAGTAGTACCTTACTTTCTTTTCTAATTTCAAAGCTTCTAATTTTGTTCAATATTTAATTTTTAATTTCATATTCAAATCTGTTAATGGTTTCCATTTTTCCCTGTGTATTAACATTGATTTATTGTATACATTAATTAGAAAATCAATCTTCAATCTACTATAGGAATAAGGGCCAGTGCGTGCTACCTGCAAACTCCCTGAATGCAGTGTAGGGTAATCTTGACTGGGATTACATTTCTGTTGTAATATGACGAATTTTATTATAATAGTTATTTTACAATTATATCAACATTTTTTTAGAATTATATTATCATATTCAGGCCATATCTTTAAATTAGCTTTATGTCTATATAATTTTGAAAATAAAATTAATTAAGTGTCTTAAAATAAAAACATTCTTTCGACAATTTTCTCATCTCCTTGATATTGTGACAGAGTGTAATATTTTTTAAAGTATATCAATTCTTTCTATAACCTTAAGATAAAAGAGTGTCAGCTAAGGAGCAATTATAATTCACTGATGAAAAAGAAATGACAAATAAATTTTTTGATTATAAAACTACATTATTTTAAAGATTTAAATTAATTGTAGTCCTTTGGGTGATTTGAAATATAAGTGTTAAATTTTTAGTGTTATATTTAACTACTGGTACTTTTTTAGTATTTCCAAAATAAAAATTTTAAATTATTAATTTGTTTATAGTTCTGAACATACATTTTCGTCTTTGATAAAAAGTTTGAAAATTATTATGACAAATATTTTATTTTTATCTTTTTTATTAAATGATTTACAAAAGTTTTTAAAAAAATGAATGATTATTTCTGAGTTATTTCCCTTAGATAAGGTTTCACTCCACATTTGATGCGGATTATACATAATAAATTCTCAACTTTTTTAAAATCAGATTACAAATAATTAAATAATTCATTGAAACATTTATTTTTAATTTTGACCCATTTGAATAAAAATTCAAAGAGATTAACAATTTAAAAAAGAAAAAAAAAAAAAAAGATTCATTTACTGCAGTTCTGTCACAACATCGATAAGAAGGTAGGGACGGGTTTGTGTTCTTGTTATGGTGTTCGTTTTTGGAATGGATTGTTCGTTTCTTCATCTGTCCTAGTCGTCTTTGTTGTCGCCGGGATAAATGGAGGTTGAGCAAGAGGAAGAAGCTGATATAGTTCATCAACAAGCTGTTTATATATCGGATCTCCCAGAGGAATTAATTGAATACATTTTCTTCCATCTTTCCCCTTACAGGGATCTTCAGTCTGCCAAGTTGGTTTGTCGCCAATGGCACCGATTGGTGCGAGGTAAGAACTCAACAAAGAATAAGAATATAATTTTTTTTTTTTTTAAAAAAAAAGAAAAATTTATAATATTTTTTCCAAATAATGATGTTCCTTGTTATTCACATTGGTTTGTATGGGTTTGCTTTTTTGTCGCCTCTATAATGCTGTCAAAAGTTTTAAATGAGTATTTCAAAATTAAAGGTTTTTTTATTTAAACAAAAAAAAAAAAAGAAACTGATTTTGTTGTAATTTTGTATAATTCAAAATTTTGGATCTGTTTTTTAGTTTCTATGTCTTCTGGGCTCCAAAAAAAAAAGAAATAAAAAAATTGAAAAATTCTCACATATACGAACGTTAAAAAACAATGAAATTTGCCCCGAAAAATACTGATTTTGATCAGTGCGACTTACGATAAAGTAGCTCCTTCATGATTTGATCAGCAATCTTCTTTTGTCATATATATATAAATTATATATATATAAGTTTAGACGAAACGGAAAAGTCATCGAGTGTCGTCGTTTATTCGTCTTTACTCTTTCTTTAGTTTGTTTTTATTCTTCTTATTTTTTCCTTTAAATTATTTTCTCGTGAGAACTGAATAATTTTTTGTGATATATATATATATATATATATATATATATGCGCGCGTGTGTCTGTCTTCTAACATTTTTTTGTATTAGCGAAATAAAGAGAAAAGTCTTTGAAAAAAAATGTCGTCTGCCAAATAATAGCAACAAAATCCGGAATGTCGCTAAATTTTGTCCCGAAATAATTTCCTTTTTTTTTTTCTTTCCCTTTTAAATATTCTTGTCAACCAAAAATGACATCATTTTAAGATTTTAAATTTTTAATTAAATCCCCCTTCTGAACATTTGATTGACATAGGTTTTTTTTTTTTTTTGGTTTTTCTAATTTATTAATTTTTCTCAAATGCCATAAAAAAATAAAGATATGTATAAATTTAAAAAAAATGACAATTTTTTTATTTTTATAAATTATTCTTCAATGCCACAAAGAAAAAAAGCCATAAAAAAGTGAACTTTTTTTTTTGTTTTTAATCTGGTTTATTTTATTTTACAAAAATTTTTTAATTTCAAATGACAAACAAAATAAAAATGTCTTGAGTCCGAAAAAAATCTGTGAAAATCCAACGATTGATAAACTCAAAAGAAAAGCTTTTATTTCAAGAATTTAATTAATTTATCTTTCACTGGACTGGCTTTTTGTATCGACTCAACAAATTCAGATAAAAAAAGAAAAATGTAAAGTTTTTCTTATTTCTACTTAATTTTTTTTTTAATTGTTACTTATTAATTAAAAATTATCAATTTTAAATTATTATTATGATTACTTATTATTATAATATTATTATATTATTAATTATTATATCTATCTGCATTGTTTAAAAATTCTTAATATGAAATTAAGAAAAAAGGTAAAAAAATAATGCGGCTTTTTAAAACTTTATTTTGACTTTTTAAAACTTGTTTTCCCCCATTTGCGAGATATGTCCACTTTCCAAAACCAAGTTTTAATTTTCTATTTTATGGTTTAAATGTCATGAAAGTTATTTTTTTTTTTAAATTCTCGTCTTTTTTTTTTTTTTAATTTGTCTTAATTATTTTTTTTCATTATTTTTTTTTTATTTTATTCCTTTTTTAAAATTTTTTTATTTGCCTTATAAAATCAAAAAAATTCAGGTTAATTATGTCTAAAAGATTTTTTAGACAATTTTAAAAACATTTGTTAATAATATTTCAGGGAACTGAAGAAAAAAAATATACAACAGTCAATTTATTATCCTTTACCTTTAATTACAGTTTTAAGATTTAGTTTTTAATTTGAAGTATTTCAGATTTGTTACTGTTTTTTCTCTCCCTAAATGACTGTTACTGTCTCTGAAAATGATGACTAACTATATTTACGTTTTACAACAAATATTTCCTCTTTTTTTTTTTTTCTTTCATGTTGCAAAGAAATGTATATGGATATATTTATTTCTTATTTTAATACTTACTTGCATTGTCCCAGTTTGTAATTATTGCTCAAAGATATTTGTTTTGGTAAACTTCACAAGCCCATGACAACCTATATTAGAAACCTTGGTCTATCTTTTTTGCAAATGACCTTCAAATTACTATCTCTGGGGACCCTGTGAAAAATGAAAACATTCAAAGTTTGCCATAAATTTCCAATTGGATTCTAATCAGAAGATTGACCCTATCATTGAAACACATTTACATTGTTCTAAGCAAACAATTGGTATGCTTCATATTGTTCTCTTCTTCAAAGATCCAACACACTTCAAAGCCTAACCCTTGCAATCCAAATACAGCAAACAAAAAAAAACTAATTGGCTTCTAAAACATCATATATTTTGGAACCATTTCTGGTTCCTTCACTCTTTTAAGTACCATAACTCAATACCATTGAAAGATAAACACTCCCAATCTATACTTCCATGCTTTACTATAGGAAGGGTTATTTTTTTTTGTTTTTTATTTTTTAACAACCATGAGTGTAGACATCTTTTTTCTCTATGTATTGTAAGATAGGTTGTGAGGGATAAGTTCAATTTTTGTTTTGTTCTGTTCGCGCAAAGAACTTTCTTCCAAGAATTAGTTTTCTCATAAGCAAACTTCAATTGATGATCCTAGTAATTTTTTATTTTTAAACTAACAGAGAATTGAGTCCATCTGACAAAAGAACCAGAGTCGGTTGCATGAGGTGCACCAGAAATTACATCCTCTTCCACAATTCTCTGTTGAGAGGACATTTGCATAAGAAAACAAAAATTTGCATAAAACATGGTAGTGGGCAGGTATTAGCCAATAGTCAGTGTAGATATGGGATTGAGAGCGGGCTCTTGACATGCGGACCATCAGAATTTTGTATCAAAGTGTTGAGTTGGAGTTTACTTAAAAAACCAGACAAGACGAACACTGGTACATTTATTAATTGATCTTTCAGCCACTTTTAAACAATATTGGCTCTCCTTTCAAGTTACAATTGTTTTGGGCTTTTCTTGTCATTTTTCAAGTTGATTGTGAAGAAATTGACCTTGACATTTCAGTTGAAGGAAAACTTTTTGTTGTGCTAAACTTCTTTTACTTCTGAATAATCCTCAAGATTGACAGAAATATCTAACATCTCAGCAGTGACCTTTTAGCTGGAAACCTTCATTCTGTTGCTTTAATGACATTATGCTTTTGGTTGAGAGAGATTCTTTAGTTTAACCATAACAAACTTATTGCTAGAAAGTGAAATACTAAATGGCATTTGGTATACCCTTGTGAAGCATTGCTATAAGATTCCAAATGTTTCTGCTGCAGTGAAATTTAGTCCAGCATTTCCTAACATTTTTAAAACTTTTAATAATGTCCAAATATTTTTTTTCAACTATTTTTTGTTTTATCCTGCATTGTATGTTTGCAAATATATATTTTCTTTCTTAGCAGTTGTTAATTTTATAATAAAACAAAATCATATGTGTAAACTTAAAGTAAATGCAAACCTTGGACATATATTTAATAAATATTTTGTAAGCATCTAAATATTCTTTCACCTATTTTTGAACTGATTGTTCTCAATTCAATGTCCATGTCTAGAGATGTCTCGACTAGTTCTTCTCTTTAGTATGACCTTGTTATTGCTTGCCCCAAGTCCAAGTATACAATGCCCAACCTGGGGATTAAACTCACAATTACTATGACACAAATTCACAAACCAAAACTTTAATCCACCAGGCTATTGATGGAACAAGTATCAAAATGAGATGAATTTATTTCTCTTGAAAATGACAACTTAATTTTTCAACATAGAAGACTTTACTTATCAATCAACCCTCATAAATAGAATTACATGCAGACTATTGTCCCCATCTTTGTTGTTATTATCATAACACTTTGACCGTTGTGCCGTTTGGCCTTCATCAGGCCCTTGTCGATCTAGGTAACCTTCAGGGAATTTAAAACTGAACCCTTTATTTAATCTATGGATTATTTCTCACCCCATTTCCAATGAGCTTAACATATCTCATTACATTAAGAACAGATTTTATATGGTTTGATCATCAAAATATATAGTTTCCCCTCATTGTACATGATTTACATTCTACTATGCTCCCAAAATGAATCAAAATTGTTACAAACATGTAAAAAATATTTGTAAAAATCTCATAGCCTGCCATAATCACCCAATATATAAATAGATCATAATTTTTATTACAAAGTATAATTTTGAAATAGCAGGTACCCAAAATATGTTGCCTATTTTGTGGTTGCTGTATCTAGAGAAACTAAACTAAACATCTTTATTGACATTATTTGCATGCAGACTATTGTCCTCATCTTTGTTGTTGTTATCACAATGTTTCAGCTATTGGGTCCTCTAGTCTTCATCATGTGTATGTCAATCTGGTTAACCTATAGGGAATTTTGAACTGAACCCTTTATTTAATCTCTGGAGACAGATTGTTCTCATTCTACTGTCCATGTCTAGGGATATCATGTCTAGTTCTTATTTTTAGTATGACTTGGTTATTGCTCACCTTGTTTCCAATAGGTTTAACATGTTTCATTGCATTAAGAACAGATTTTATATGCTTTGCTCAACAAAATATATATACTTGTATTATTTTTACACCAATTAATTTTTTTTCCCGAAGATTAATTTTAATTTCACAAATTTGTTTAAATAAAAGAATTATCTTTGGTGCCATGAAAAAGTATTATGCATGAATATGAGTGATCTTAAAATAAGAAACATTGTTAATTTAATGCTGCAAAAGACAGTATTACAAGTTTTATAGATTTCCTATGAGAAACTCGGTTGCAAGTTAAATATGACCTGACTTTTGGTCACTTGGCAAGAAATACTGATTTGTATTTTGTGCTGTTGCCAGAACAAGATGAAATAATCATTAACCACTTTGGTTGTTAGTGACATTGGCAAAATGAATAGCTTTGCATTGAGTTTTACTAAAGGCAGTAATAGATTATATTTAATCATATGTAATGAGACATTGCTTAGTAATTTATTTAAAATATCTGCTGATATTTCTTCTCATTTATTAGAATTGCATGCAAGTAAGTCTTCCAATATCAGATGATATTCTGAAATATATACATGCTGAGTTGCTTGTGTTACAGAGATTGGTATGCATAAGTATTTGAAAACCGTTAATTGTATAAATGTCATAAACAGGCTCTTCTCACTTTGAAATCTAATTTCTGTTGAAGAAATTAAATTTTGAATAATTTAATATTTATTTGATAAAAACTAAAAGATCATTTTAAAAATGAAATGTCTGAGAGGGAAAAATACTGTTCCTTTTCAAAAATGCTTTTAGTAAATTTGATCTTTGACTTCCTAAGTTTAACAAATAGTATCAGTTCCATTGAATTTTACAAATTGGCAATTACACTTTGTTCTTATTTTTCTTGGAGTTTGATAAGTTGCACTAATCTGATACATTTCAGTTGTTGGTTCTTTACTCAGCACTTAGTCTAACCAATAAATGCTTTAGTAAATTTTTACCTACTCAAATTTTTTTCTCTTTTTTTTTTTTTTTTCTCTAATCTTCAGGTGTTATCCGTCAGTTGGAGCAAAATTTTCATGATGCCATTGCCTGTTCCCAGGTATTATGGACCAAACTTTTACCTGGAGACAATCCTTCCATAACCGAGCGCTACTCTCACTGTGCCTGTTACTATGATAAATCTCTTTATATTTTTGGAGGATGCACTTCCACTAATACTACATTCAATGACTTATGGCGCTTCAACCTGGCTACCAGAGAATGGATCAGGCCTCTTGCCACAGGTGAATCTCTTTTTACCCCCAGCTTCTTTCACTGTTTCTATCTTGTTGCATTTAGTTCATCATTGTCTGATAAAATATCATTTCACTTCAACAAGGTTCGTCAATCGCTTATGCAATACCTTCAGATGTTGATGCTTCCTGGATATTGTCAGGTTTATAAAATCAGCATTAAAACTTTTCTTTCTTACCGACAGTTCAGTGTAGGATTACTAGGTATATCTAGAAAAACAAACATCCTTTGGGGATAAACAAATCTTTCAACGATAGAAAATTAAATACATATTCTTTTTGTACAGCTTTGAAATAATTTGCTTCAGTGAATGAGTGCAACCTGTAAATTGTACTGATATTCAGTATACTGTAGTTTTAAAACTTCTCCCTTCATTTAGCTAAACGCCAAGAGAGCAACATACCATGTCTTCTTGGCCTCACATTTTCCACTAACATGAAGTGGAGTGGCTACACAAAATCACTTGCTTCGTTTACTGCAAGGAAAGTTGGTTCACTCTATTGTGCCAAAAAATTTTTCTTGTCAGAATCCATCTTATGCATTTATAAATCTATCATTTATTCATGCATTGAATACTGTTACCATATCTTGTCCAAAGAACGATCTGTAATGTAATCAAGCTTGACCTGGCACCTCAACTTCAGTAACTTTCTCACTGGTGTGGCGTGGCTTCCCTCTGTTTTTTCTACAAATCTTTTCATGGCAATTGCTCTGATGGGCTTTTTTTTTCTTTGGTGCCCCAACCCAATCAATTTAAGCATGCTACCAAATTGGCAACTAGGTCCCACACTTTTACTGTTGAAGTAGCTAAATGCTTCTTGTCTTTCTGTCAATCCTCCCTATTCACGCTGTTCTCATTCTCTTTCACTTTCACTCCCTGTAACTTGCTGCATTTTACTAGCATTACCGCCTTACTTGGAGTGAAATGAGTAAAAACAAAATATCTGATCTGTTGCTCCAGCTATATATCTTGACAAAATCCAAAGAAACATCTGTAGTGTTGTCTTTTTGTTTGCAATTGTTCTAATTGAATTTTCCTCCTTCCTACCACATGAAATTAAGTGTATTACTCAATTGGCAACTAGATCTGATTGTTTTATTTGTGAAATAGCCAGATGTAATTGTAAGTTCTATTGTAATAGTTTCTTACTTTTCTTGTACTTCTCACTTCTGAAACTCTATGCCAGATTCTTGCTTCCCTGCCACCTACAATGTTTGAAAATTTAAATTCTATGTTAATAACCATTTTCTGTCTTCCTGAATCTTATTCTTTTATTGTCCTTTCTCCTCACTAAAGTCTTCTCATTCTCTTTTACACCCAATGACTCTTTGTGTCTTAGTAGCATTATTGCCTTGCTTAGGGTGAAATGATTTTAAAAAAAAATCCACAAAGAGACCTCTCTACTTCTCTTTCCTTATCAATTGTACTTTGAAAGAAGGCTGTATGTGGATTGACAAAAAAATGTCTCAACTCTTGAAAGTCGTTTGAGATTAACTTGCTAACCATTTTGCCATGGCAAGGCACCCGTTAAATTGGTAAATCCTTCTCTTTCTATGAGTTTTGACATGATAAAATATTTTTTCTAGATTAAACCAATCCAGTAGACAGGTAAATGAACCATTTACTTTCAACAAAAATAAATTCTATGTTTATGATTGCATAATTTTGCTGAACGTAGTATATTAGTTTTTATAATTTTTAACTCTTTTCCATTATTTCCTCTAGGAACCTATCCATCTCCAAAGGCTTGTGCCAGCATGGTTGTCTATAAGGATAGCCTAGTTCTCTTTGGTGGATGGAGTCACCCTACACCTTCTCCTTTGCACCAAGTAGGTACACAACCATTTGAATTATTCAACCAATTGTTTTTTGACTTGTAAGATGCTTTGAAGATTTTACTCTTTGGAGCAAATTATCTAAAAATGATCTTAATAACTTAGCATTTACTTAATGATTATTATTATTTATTTTATTGTATTAATTACAAACTGCAGACCATATTTGTATCTCTGATTCATGCTTTGTTTTATGAGATTTTTGTTTCTATTATTTTTTTTTTTTCTCACTTTTGTGTTTTTTATTGATATCAAAATTATATCTAACCATCAACATTTCCTCTTCTAAATAATATACATTAAATGTATTTTACTTGGAAAGTTGTCTGCCTTTACCCATTCTCCGTCTTGGAGCTTGACAGTTGTCAGTCTATTTGAGATGCATTACATGGAAGCATTTTATAGAAACTGAGCTTGTCCTCTCACTATGACCTTTATCATAACCAACTCCTGCAGCCAAACCAGCCCCAAATATAATCTTGTCGGTACAACCAAGATAGAGAGCCATGTAGTCTGGGCAGCTTACAGCCTCTATATCTCATTACCAAGGCCTGTGCTCTGGAGAGATCATTTCAGTTTTCCTACCAAAAGACTGAATTTTGACCAAATGGGATGCTACCTTTTTATCTTGCAAGATAAACTGATGCCTACTTGGAAAGTAAAATCTATTAATCCATTTCTGACCTTTGCTCCTGATCTATTCTCATAGATTTTCTTTTCTTATTATAATGTTTCCCTCCAGTCATATACAGGAGATATCTAATAAAATGTTTAAGGTGACAGAACAAAGATAAATTCCAATTACAATTTCCAGCAAATTGTTGGTAGAAAAATCATTATTTATCTCAGTTTCAGTCAGTTCCTTTTATTAACTCCACTCTCCTAGTGGATAAAAGCATTGGTGTTGAAGTAATCCAGTGACTTGACCCAAAGAGTTGTGAGTTCAATATCTGGCCACAGCAGAGGTGAACAAAAACTTGAGTTGAGTTACTGATAACTGAAACTGAGATATCCAGAAAAGGCATGGCACGTGGAACTAGCACACTCTACTCCAGTGGAACTAAAAGGGTTTGGTTCAAAATTCCTGAAGAAGGCTGGAGCATACAATGGCTGAAATGTCATGAATATGACAATGAGGACAACATTCCAAACAATGTAAATAGTGTACAGAAATATAGACAGAAAAATGATTGTTATTATTGTTCTTACAATTTTTATTCTGCAGTAGGACTCGACACAAATGTTTTTTTTTTTTTTTATGTGAATTTTGAAGAATAAATTTAAATTTAAATTTTCATCTCCTTATTTTGCTTTCTTGTTTACAATATTTTTTTTATCTCCAGGCAGCCCGATTCTTTAATGAGCTTCATATCTACACACCTCATACGAACAGGTGGTCTTATGTGACCTCCCGGAGTATGCCTCAATTGGTTGCAGGTCATTCAGCTTGTGTGATTAAAGATTCTATGATAGTTTTTGGCGGATCTAACTTTCCTGGCATTGGGTGAGTACTTAAGATTTGAAATACTGGAAATTTGGTAATACTGATATCATATACTTTGGTATAGTGGCAGAAACAGATGAGTAACACAAAAAACAATAGGACTGAATATTAACTGATATAAAATCTCTTTTTACCACTTTTACAACTGCCATCCACATCTTATGCTTGGTATTTTCTGATACATTTTCATTTCTGGATGTCGAAAATAAGTTTATTCGCAGTTCTACTTTTAATGTGAAAACAATGTTAAGACTTCAGTTGAAGCTAGAAATCAATTCATAAAAATTATTTCTTAAGTTGGCTATTATAAAGTTGGCATTTGAAGACAAATTTCGAAATTGACCTCTGGTAGGTCAACGTGTTAAAAATGAAAAGCAAAATAAGAAAAAAAAATCAGTTCAAAATTCCAAGTTACCGAATATGACAGTCACCTGAAGATGTCCAGAGAGTATAACAGTCAAAACATGAGTATAGCAACTAAGATAAGCATGCTGCTCTGAATACTAAAACATAACAATTATTCCTAATTTCAAAATGCCAACATAATTCATATGTTGTCATGATTAACCTTTATAAATAATCAATTTATAATGTGATCTTCTTTTTACACTCCCCACCTCCATTGCACAATCTTTATATAGTAATTTTTATTTTAAATTTGTTTACAAAAATCTGTTGGTTCTTTTACATTAACAAATTTGCTACTGTTTTACAGGTGTACATTTATCACCTGATTATTAAACTTTTTCACAACAAAAATCCTGTTGTTTCTTATTGTCCAATTTATGCAAATAAAAAATGTCACCATATTATGCTGGATGGTGCCATCCCAATATGGGAGGAGGCAAATGATCGTGATATTGAACTGGCTGTCTAACTCACTGGATCTCCGTCAAATAGAGAATCCATAGAACATCATGAAAAGAAAGGTTTCCCCCAATGAAAATGGCCACCAAATAGCATTTGAAAGATAGAATCAAGACAGACATAAGAAGTCAACATTGATCTGGGCAAAGCCTTGCATCATCAATGATTTTGGAGTGAGATTTTCAAAATGGCATATACAGAAAAATTAAAAAAATGTTACAAAAAAAAGAATATACTGTAAATTTTGTGAATAGTATGTGAAAATCACTGGTAGATAGAGTAAAATTCTAAATTTGCTTTTAATGTAATTCCCCCTCCCCCCACTTTTTTGTTTTTCAAGATAAAGAATTTTGAAGTATATTTGTCGTAGTCATTTTATTTTTATTTGCATGTTAGAAGCATAAGATGGTACCAACCTTATTGCCTCCTTTTTTTTTTTTTTTTTTTTTTTATTTCAGTTCTAATGATATCTGGATATTTGATTTCATTGAACGTTATTGGTACAAAAAAGAAACTTATGGGCCAAAACCAAGTCCACGTTATGGCCAGTCTCAGGTAATGACTTCTCTTTTTATGAGGCTCAAATCTTTCACATTTAGACAATGAAAACTAACTCTGAAAAAGATCCTATTATTATTATATAATTTTTTTTTTTTTCATTTACCACTTCTAGAATTAAAAAGGAAAATGAAGGTGCAAGAAAAACTGCATGATTTCATTGATCATCTACATTTCCATAATTTACAACTGACTTTTTTATTTGAAGAAATGTTCACCCAATACAAGGCCCAGGAGCCACTCAAAGGAGAGTATCACTGTTTGGTCTTGTGTTAGCATAGGAAAGAACAAGCATTAAGAACACAGAGATTTTCTTTTCAGGGATGAAGCAGACCTTAGAATAAACTGGAAACCCAATCCTAAACCGGAAACCTCTACTTCTGTTCAAAAGACCCAGGACAAGTGTGAACAAGACAACAAGCAAACCTATCTACTCATTATTAATATACTGGAATAAATTTGTCAGAATCAACACTTCACTGTAGAAAATGAAATTTAACTGTTAAATTAAATGGTTACAAACTAGCTTTGGTTAGAAAAGCCAATTTTCTTTGTCACTGGGAATTAAATAAGGATATTGATTTATTTCTGTCATTGCACAATTTCCCTTGAGTAACATTGAATACTGATGTCAAATCTAGCCTGGTGCTCCTGCTATGTATCTTGAGATTCTTGACAAAATACAAAGAAGAGTCTGTAATGTTATTGATCTGACCTGACATCTCAGATTTGATCACTTTTCCCACCACCGTAATGTAGATTCGTTGTATCTTTTCTATAAATATTTTCATGTTAACCACTCTGATAAGCGCTTTCCTCTTTGGTACCTCAACTTTACAAATTTATATGCAGTACTACATTGGCAGCTTGGTTTTACCATTTTGCAGTTGAAATAACTAGATGTAACCATAAGTTCTTTGTTAACAGTTTCTTCTCTTGCACTCCTCACTTCTGGAACTTTCTTCCATTTCTTGCTTCTCAATCAACTTTAAATTTAAATGCAATGTCAATCATCATCTTTTGTCTCCTTGTATCCATTTTTTTTATTGTCCTCTTTCCTTAATGATTTTTCTTACATTCTTTAACTTTCAGTAACCCCATGCATTTTAGTGGCTTAAAATAAATATATATTGCCGATTAAATAATTTTCATTCCCTACCAAAGCTTCTTAATTTAAGCTATTACTGTAGATTGTTGTACATGTCTGTTTTTATTATAGAATACCTTGTCTGTACCTGTTATTAAGTCTTGGTTCACAAGGCTGTTGCTCAATATAGCCTAGCTTTGTACTAAAGTTGGCTTGATCTAATAAAAAACTGGTGTAATACATCTGGACTTTTTTGCAGCTAAAATGCTTTATACATTGTTGAAGGTTTTTCATAGTTTAAATGGATATATTAGCAATATCTGCTTCATATTGTGATTTGCAAGCTTCAGATATTTAAACATTTTGCTGTTTTGTCATCATCTTACCCAATATTTAATATATGGTTGGTATAATGGCTAAAAGCCTAGAATGAGAAATTGGAGAGCTGTGTTTTGATTTCAGTTCATTACATTCAATTATGCATTAATACTCTTGAGAAAGGTATGAATTGATCTCTTTCTCACCAATTATGCATTAAACAGTAGAGAAGACTGAGTTTTTCAGCCTTGGTTGGGAACCAGTCTAGGAGAAAGGACAACTCCAAATGAAAAAAAAAATACATGTTACCCCTGTCAAAGTATCTACTATATGCAGTTCATGAAAGGATTGTAGGGTTCATAATGACTCTATGATCTCAACTGCAGATGGCCTTGATGGTGCCAAGTATTGTATATAAATATGGACATTATTCCTCATCTTTTCATCACACAGGCAGGCACCTCTCTCTGTTGCACTTAAGGACAGAATGTCAAGGTCAGTCTGTGGGATCTGAGGCATTATTCCAGGGGAAAGATGCTGAAGGAGCAGTTTTGTTATCAATTTCATCTATGTATGGTTTCACTCATTTTAACCTGACCTTGTGTCATATTCTATTCAAGTGGGTGTGTAGGTAGATGCTATTACCATTCCCTGCCTTATCTCTTCATTTTCATCTTTTAAAGCCTCTGTGCAGATGCTTTTAAAAACAATGACTCCTCCTCTTATTTCATTGTCATGAAATGTTCTTCATTATTTATTTCCTCTTTTCCAGATTGCAGTTGATGACAACCATATTCTTATCATTGGAGGATGTGGAGGTCCAAATCAGGTAAATTTTCTTACAAGTTGGGAAACATTATCTGTGAAGCATTAAATAAAAAATGGATTCTTGTTGAAATACAAATTTTCTTTTTCAGGACCACCTGAAATCTTAATGTCTGTGATTTAAATAGAATTATTTATTAATTGCTGTTCTGTTAGTTCCATTATAATTAACTACAGCAAAAATAATTCTCAAACAATTAAATTGTCTATATTTATCAGTATTATTATGTTATTCAAATTGTGCCACTAGTTTGTTAATTATTGCTCTAAAGCAATAATTAAAAAACTAGTTTTGCATGATGTCATTAGTACAACAGTCATCAGTTCTCATTGGTTGTCCTTTTATTATAAACTAGACTACACATGACCCATTGGATCACTGATGGCTCAGGTTATAAAACTTTGAAGTTGATTTCAACATTAAAAAATTGTCCATTGAAGAAAGTTGAAATAAAAATACTGTATAAACAACTTGTACTTTTAAATCTTATTCACAAAATATTTTTTAAATTAAACTAAAAATATTCTTTTAATATGCCAAAAATAATTAAAATCATATTCACTTGAAAATATTTTTGAAATATGCCAAAATATATTTTTTAAATATTTAAAATATTGTGTTTTTAAAGAAAGCTGAAATATAAATAATTACTCTACAAACAATTGGACAAAACAGCAAAGCAAGATCTCTTTGTGTCTGTTTTTAACTCAAAAATATTTTAGTTAAAAAAATTGTCTGTTTGAAGAAGGTTAAAATGAAAATATTTACTGTATAAACAACTCGTAAATCATTATGCACAAGACTGATATACCACACAAGCTCACACACGCAATCACAGATTTTAGTAATATATAGATGAAGCTGACTTTGGTAAATAGGAACTGGCATTATTTTGACGTTTTACAATGATGTTCATTGACATAAGGATGTGTTAATTTTTGTCAGACGGTTTTCCAGCACACACACATACATACACACACAGTGTGATGGAGAAATTGTCACCATTTTATTTTTTAATTTCACTCATGTGCGTTGTTTTTGATTTCGTCAACTTCACAGTAGTCAGTTGAGCACTGTCTGTGAGAAAAAGAGCACCAGAACACAATACACTCTGCCAGAAATTTGGAAACAGCATGTTGTACTGCTTGGCATTTATGACAGAAGCTCCAATATGAACATTTCAGTGTGTTTGGGTGTGAATCTGAGGACACTGCAGAGGATTGGGAAAGTGTTGGATGAGTATAATGATGATTATGAAGGTATGGCAGCTCAGAAACTCACTCTGATTGTTCTGATAAGAAAAGAACTGCAGAATTTGTTGGTAAGGGCCTCAGACTCAACTCTGAGGCCTCAAGTGCATTAAGGAGGTAGTGCTGCCCTGGGTGAAGAGGGTGGCTGCTGGAAGACCCTATGTCTGGCAACAGGACTTTGCACCATGCCACATCACCCCTTACATCTGGCCACCTGACTCCCCAGACTGCAAACTCCTTGATTATTATGTGTTGGGCACAGTTGAGCGAGAGACCAACAAAACTCTTTGTAACACCAAAGATGAACTGAACTGAATTATGTCAGCATTCACCAACTTAAACTAGGAGACCCTCCAAAAAAAATGCTGGAGATTCCAAAGTCATCTGGAGGCCATGGTTGAAGCCAATGGTGATTTTATTGAATAAATTTACTCTTTAGGATTTCAAGATATTTCTGTGTAATTTTGCTAAATATATCTGTTAAATGAGATGTCAATGTTATTTTCATTTTTGCCTAATTTAGACAACAGTTTATCCATTCCATCACACCCCGTATAATATATATATATGTGTGTGTGTGTGTGTGGAAAGACTAGATCAACTTTGTAGGAATGTTTAATTTGGTCAGAATTACAGATGGCATGTAAATCTTTTGGCAATACAAATTGGACCAATAAGATTGGAATAAATTATGGCATTTGTAACAAAAGGGTTTAAAAAACTTACAAGTATGGAATTAAAGATAAACACTTTTGAGGTTAAGTGTTTTGCTTATTCTCTGTGTGTAGTCATGCCTATCTATAAGTTATTAACAATTAAATAGATTCTCACCATTCTCAGTGTGGGAGGCTTTTCATTTGGTTACATTAGCGTGTAAGTGGATTCATGAAAAGTTTTGAGATGAAAACTCTCATAGTCCCAACAATGTAACCTAACCTTCTATCAAAGTGATTGATTATTGAAATCTGTGTATTAATCTTGAAACTTGTAACAATTTGGAGTGAAATTTTTTTTTTTTCTTAGAAAATGTACAAACAAGCTGTTTGCGCAGTATAGATAAGTTTTCTACAGTCTGAAAGGTGATAGGTAATTTTATGTGTTGTTTCATTTGTGAATAGTCCATTACTGAGAGCAGTCTGCTACTACTAGGATTATTGGTATGTCTATATATATATATATATATATATATATAGGCAGTACGCAGTACTTAGTGGAAAGTGCTTAATATCTGAGATAGAATTGTATAGATATTAGTTTGTAACCCTGCTTTTGTGATCATCAGACAAACTGATAATTGCAAAAATGATGAACTTTGACCACAAAAGCCTGAAACCCAGGGTTACAAACTGATATCCATACGACTGTTTGAAGAGATTAATGTTGAAATCCAAATTTTCTTCTGTTATTTTCCACTATTTGCAGAGAAGTTTGTAGTAAAACTCCTACAACTCTTTGCGATGACCGAGAATGCTTTAATACTTTGATAGTCATTAATACACAACTAATAGAAGTCTAACATTCTCTTAGACTTTTTTTTTTTTTTTTTTTATATTTTCCCCTTCAACTAGATTTTTTTAATGTTCATCTCTATTTTTGGTTATCATGTCATGGGGATAAGATTTCTTTTTCTATCTTCTTGGAATGTTTTAGTGAAAACATGTAGAGTCTCATTGCTAAATGCCATTGTCTGCTTCTTTTTGTCTTCAGTTATACAGCATTATTAAAATCAGATGAAAGTATGAAACTTTCTTGACAAACTTATTAACTATCAGCATATGAGAAAGAAAACAACTTTTGCACTCTTCTAAATGAAAAGTCAACTTGAAAATTAGCATTTGAAAGGCATTTGATTGTTTTTAATCTAGGCTCAGACACTAGCAACTTCCAATCACCAAATTAATTGTTATCATTATATTTGTTAAATTTCAACAAATCCTAGCCACAATTTTAGAGTAGCCAATGAGAATAAATTGACAACAGTAAAAAAAAAAAAAAAAAAAAAAACTAGCTTGAGTGTAAGCTTACTAATTACAACTCCATAGCAAATACCCAGTGTGTATTCTAAATCTATACATTATAAGAATGTAGTTTGTATTTTGCTTTATGCTAACTTTTTTCTTTTTTCCTGCTATATTGCTTTTAATATGTCCATCTTTAGAGCTTTATTAAAATTTTTGAACCCACAAAAGATTCTTTTAATATAAAATGTTTCTCTCTCAAACATGATTAATAAAATACCCTTTACTTATTGAAACTGAAATCTCTTTTCATTTCTGTAACATTTAAGATCTTCAATGATGTCTGGATGTTGGTTCTGGAACCACATAGTATGTATTGGGAAGAGATCAAGGTATTACAATCAGAATACAGTGCACCCCAACTCTGGTGCCATCCTGCTTGTAAAGTAAGTATACATTTTATGTGCTTTAGTCAGTATGGATATTACACACACGCACACAATAAAATACCTGCCTTTCTTAGGCTAGTTATTTATCTATATTTTATGAATCGGCACTTAAAATTACTTTTAAAAATCATTCATGACTAGCACTAATATATATATATATATATATATATATATATATATATATATAAAGGCTCAAACACTAATATTCCATGGTTATAATTTATTACATTTGAATTGTAATTCCAATTCAATTCATCAGACCTACAAATTCAAAAAGAAATCTGAAAATATATTCTTACTCTGTCCTAGACATTGAGTTCTACCTGGATTCTATCCTCTTGGAAATTATATTACCACTAATATTGTCAATATCTCTCTATCTCTCTCTATAATACAAACAATACATCTATAATGCCTTCATATAGCTGTAAAAATTGATTTTTATAGATTATATAAGAAATTATCTTATTGATTTCTGAATCAAAATGGAAAAAAAAGCCCAAATGACAAAAATAAGTTGATGATAGTTTTCCATCTTGTTAATTTGAATTCAATTGCTTTCTTTTTCCTCTTAACAGGTTCATGATACAGTGGTTGTGCTGAGTAAGCCTGCTAAGTCAATGAAGCTTATTCCTCCATCCCTGCCTAAATGGTCCCAGTTGCGAGGACAGCGTTCCTGGCAGCAGCCCCAGTCCACGAATGCTTTCCATTCATCATCCGCATCCAATCGGGTAGACAGAGCCAGAGTATCAAGTTGTGACCGATTTGACAGGCTGACAGACAGCTCAAAAAAGGATGAAGAACAGAAGAATGATATGGAAACGGTGCACACTTCTTGGCCTGTTTATGGTGATTACAATGCACATTTACCACAGCAAAGTGTTACAAGACCTAATACAACTGACAGTGACCGATATCCAATTGTTATGAGGCACTTATCTCAGGAGCAAAGATTAACTGACTCTTCTCACAGTTCTTTGACATTAAATGGATCCTCATCAAATGATGCTTCTACTTCAGCTGGATTATCTATCAACAAATCAACCTCTACGGATGACTTACCTTCTAATAATGCATCAAATGGCGCACTTCCTTCTAACACAGCTTCTGCTGATAATGCTGCTTCGACCTCTTCAAATGGAACAACTATGCATTATACAGATTCTCTCAATGGATCATTTGCAAATGGAGCATCTATGAACAGATCCTCTTCAGATGGATCTGTTCTAAATGCTGGTAGGCATGATACTGCTGGCATGAATGAAGGTGCTCAAAATGGTTCTGTTATGAATGGCATCCAAAGCAGAGCAGGTGGTTCTGCTTCCAATGGTTTGCCATCCGCCTCTGGGAGTGGACCTTTGGCTGGTGTCGGTCATTCTTTGTTAAATACTGTACCGTCTTCCCGATTTTATCATCTGTCCATGCGGCCAAACCGGCAAAAGCAGTTAGAGATGCTGCAGCGGTATGAAGACAAGATAAAGAGACAGCAGCAGCAACGGCAGCAACCTCCGACCGGCTTTTTACGGACCAATCACAAAATGTCTCAGGGCTCTAATCAAGGCCAAAACGGTCGCGGATGTAGCTGCAGCAATCTCTCATCATCGGGGAACACATCAAACCCCAAAGAACCGCGGTCACTTATGCATCTTCACAATCTAGACATTAGTAAGGTGGTCACTGAAAAAATTGTCACTTGGCAGAGAGTGCGAGAGAACATTTCAGACTGCATACCTGAGGAAGCAATATTCTACTCGTTAGTTGAGGGTCGTGGGGAGTTGATAATGTTTGGCGGCATCCAGCGGGATATCAATTCAATGCAACGTGGTGTTCGTATTAAATCCCATGTCGTTAGTAACAATCTTTACGTCCTGTCATCCCCACGACCAAATTTCTGAATTGTTGGTGAGACGATTGCAATTCTGACCAACATGAAAAGCTTTGATTCAATGCGCACAATTCGATCATTAACAGCTTCTCTCATTCAAGTCACATACTGAACATCTTTCTTCTTTAAATCCATTGTGTGTTTATATTCAGATTTTAATTTCTAACTGGTGTATATGTTTTACATTCTTGATTATTATTTTACTTTCTAAATGAAAAGTAAAGAAAAGTGATACATTTTAAAGCTATTTGAAATTCTTCTTTTAATGTCTGTTTTAAACAAATGTTTGTGAACATGCAGTCATTTCTTTTTTGTTTGTGTTAGCCTGTCTTGTTTGAAAAGACTTTAATTTTGTGTGTGTTTTTATTTATTTTTAGCTATTCTATTTTTAATAACTATGAAAGCAGTCTATTTAGGCTGAAACTTCTAAAATCTCTTTAAACTCAGTTTTACTTGGTTTGTGTCCGTCAAGAAACAAAGCACTATTCATAATGGTAACTTGATGCATAACTCAGTAACACTAAAACTTGTTGCTTATTTAGCCTCTGTAGTTGCATGGTGGAGTAATGGATATCAGCTCTGATTGAGGAATCAGAGAACCGAGTTACACGCTAATACCCTTGGGAAAGGTATGAATCCTTCTTCTCTCCCTAGCTATGGGTAAATAACAGGACAGACCAGGTTCTATAGTCCTGGATGGCAACTGGTCTACCAAAGAAATAAATGGCAACCTACTGCTGGAAAAAATCTGCCTCGTTAGTCATGTATCGAAAGATACATGATTGCCTAAGCGTGTATCATGCATAGCACATAACTGACTGACTGAGCTGCAATTTATTAACTAATGGAACTGACTTCTCAAGTTCTTTATTTAATCCATAGTAAATTCTCAAGTAATAAATGGTTTTGACTGAATAATATTTCCAATATCTGCTTTGCTATTTATAGCTCACTAAATATATTTATCATATTATTTGAACCCTGCATTCCTCAACAATTGTAACCCTTCTTCCTGATCTCCTGAGTCAAAATTCGAAAATGATTGGTATGTAATGTTTCACAGTAGATATAAAAATAGTTACAAGTTTTTACTCACCATTCAACCGGTGGTTGGGCATATTTTTCTCTACCACCAGTAAAGCAGTTGTCAGGGCTCAAAGGGTTAAGAATTTTTTATATTATGATTGAGTCTAGCATAAGAATAATTAATTATTATTGGATAAAAATGTAATTGTCTGTGTGCACAAAACTTACATGCTACAGGGTGTGGCAGAAATACCTCCCACATTTTAAACTGTCACCTGTGCTGCTAGTGAACTTTAGTAAGAAGTATGTTCCACTTGAACAGCTTCTTCCTGTGAACTGCTGCTCTGGAACTGACTCTCAGAGTATGTTTCACCTGATCACTACAATTTTAACCTGTACAAGTCTAGGTTTAACCATTATCTTCCTGTCCTAGCATAACCCTCTACTTTGAGTGCAACGCGCCCCCCCCAGCTTTATATAGGGTGAACTTTACTGTTTAAAAAAAAAAAAAAAGTGATGGTGGTGTCTTCATCTTGCAGATGTTTTACCCTTATGTGGGAGGTATTTCTGCCGTACCCCGTATATAAGAGGACAACAACTTTGATCAGTTAAAATGCCGACGTAGAATAAGTTTAAAATTTATTAACCCTGAAATGGTATGTTGGAAATTAAAATTTCTGTGACTAAATAGTTTATTTCGAATGAAGCTACATTATATAATATATCTTATACAGAATGAAAGATTGTAAACTGTAAAAACTGCAGTGAAGATGTATGTATATATTACAAACTAATTGCATTCCTGTTTGAGAAAGAAACATTGATACCTTTCAATTTTTTCAAAGTTTTATATTTAATTTTATTTCAACTTAAGTCTTCCATCTATGAAATAAAACCCAAATAATTAGTTTATGATTTTTGAGGATATAAAGTATTGATTGAATAATTTGGAAAGAGTTTTGATTCCTGCAGAAGACTCAAAGCAAAAAAATTTCATTTCAAAAGATCTTCCACCGGATCGAGGTTGGGAAGTGAATAAATATTGAAACGATAATGAAAAATCTTATTAATTAACACTGTTATTTTTAATTGTCAAATAGACTTAACTTTTGCATATGAAAATCAAAAAAAAAAAAAAAAAAAAAAAAAATGTAACCCTTCCATCAAGTGAAAGCTGCCATGATGCTTGATGAAATAATAAAAGAAAGTTTAATTGCTTCTTTAATGAATCCAAATCACATACACAGAACTCCAATCATTGTGTTGTCTGAATTACGTTGACAATTCAATTTGCTTGGTCTCTTTTAGGCTCTTTCTTTTAAAGCCATGTATGTGACGGACGTATCAAATCTCTTGGCCATACTAACCTGTAAAGTAATATGCCATGTCGTCTTCATAAGAGAGCATTCTCTCGGGAACTTTTGTTTCATCTTTCTTTTTAACTGATATCATGGAACGATACATCAGCTTCCGTGAAGGCTGCAAAAAATAAAAGATAAAACTTTTTTTTTTTTTTTTCTAAAATACAATTGTTGTTCCACTACAAGGCACAAGAGCCACTCAAATTAGAGGATTACTGAATGAGGTAAGAAGTGCATATTATGAGGGTATGTACAATAAATAACAGTTGACCCCAGATTTGAAAAGGTTAAAACTAGCATTCGGGGAAGCATACTCTTAGGATTTATGTGTGCATATGAAGGGCTATTAACAAAGTGGTTAGAATTTAATCATGGTTAACTTCTTAGGTGTTTTTTTTTTTTTTTTTTTTTTTTATCTTGGCATGTGTTGTTAAGTCTAGCATGTGGCACCATTACAGAATTACTGTTAATGAAATTAAGCATGAAAGACTGTAAGGCAACAATGCTTGTGCTAGCAAAAATATCACAAAAATCACAGGACATTATGACTAAGGGTTTGAGTGTATTAGCTTTATTCAAACTGTTGATGATGCCCTCTCTCCGAAACTGTAAATAAAGGTCTACTCAGAAGAGTAGCAGTATAAATCACTGGTTGACTCTGGATGTTGAAGAAACACAAAGTGCCAGAGTCATTGTCTGCAACAACACCTAGCAGATGGACATACTCAGAAACTAACAATTAAATTTTATGTGATAAAAAATACATTTAAAAATAATAATAAAAACAAAAAGAAAAAACAGAGGGTTAAAAGGAGAAAAATACAGATTTGATGTCAGAATATTATTTAACTCTCTCTTCCAATTTGCGGACCCTAGTTATTCTATTTCTTAAGACTTGATATGCACAAATGTCACTGACGAAATCAGTCAATAATTATTTATATTGTTTCATACATACAATTACAAGTAATCCATAATAATACTTTAAATTTTGAAATCATTCATTTTTAGCATATGAATTTTTTGAAAATGTTTTGAAATGTTTGTCTTTCAATCATTCTGTCTCACCTGCTATCCACTTCTGCCATACCTTTGAGGTACACTGCACCATTTAGGAGCAAACTGATTTAGTGGATACTCTTATAGATGCCCCATTTTTTAATAATTTTAAATTAAATAATGTGTATTATGTTTATCAGTCTATGTATATTAAAATCTTTATAAAGAAAATGCTCTCCAGCAGAGATCGAACCTGCATAGCATAATTTGATGCAGCATACTCTTAGTAGCTGTGTTGATAAATCACAGATCAATGATAGTTTCTCCAGCTAAGGGGAATACAGGTTTGAACCGTGCCAGAAAACATATTTTCTTTAAGATTTCTACTTGAATACGCAGACCAATAGATGTAATGCACATTATTTGAAGTAAAAACAAAAAAATGAGGTGTCTATTTCAAATACCAGTATCCACCAAAATAACGTTTGAAATAATAAAAATATGCATGTATGTGTTAGTGTGTAATTTACCTATCATTACATAATGCACTCTTATATAGGAGAAACAAAGTTTTACGTTAAACTTGATAAAACTGCATAATTATTGAGTGGTACATAGAATATTTGTTTTGTTTCATATTCAGAAAGTATTGCATGTAAATGCATAGCAACAAATTTTTTGATATTTCAATTGCAAAGCGGTTGCAAATGAAAATATTGACACAGTTTATTTTTGGTAGGATGGATAAATTATTAACCCATTACCTTCCATGAGCCTCATTTGGGGATCTGTTAAAATTAAACTCACTACATTCCTTGTATTTACATTGAATTGCTTACATACATTGCATTTGCAGAGGTATATTTTACAACACTTCGCCTTTAAAGTTTTTATTATTAGCTGTAAGAAGACACTTTCTGTCGTAATTTTACATTTCACGAGTAGAAAAATAATGACTATTTTGAAAAGTATTTTTTTATTTCTAATCAATATTATTTTTTTTTTTTTTTTTTTTTTTTTTTTTTTTTTATACATATATATTTAATGTTCTAGTTTCTATAAAAATGACAATGGTAATTACTGAAATTAAACATAAAGAATAAATAAACTCCTAAGACATCCGTCTGGGCCAAAAATGCGCATTAAAAAAATTTGGCAGTTAATGGGTTAATTTAATGTCATCAGTTCTCAAGTCAGCATCTATGCAGATGACATTAACATTTACTCCTTAAGAGTAAATCTGGCATTGCTGAAAAAGTTAACCTGGCCCTTGGTCTCAAAAAGGACCTCCAATCTGTGGTTGACTGGGGCAGGAAATGGCTTGTAAATTTTAAAACCTCCAAAATGAAACTGCCCCCATTTACCCACCATAGAGAAACCTCCTTGCCTCCTATTTTCATGGCTGATGCTCAACTCGACGAGAACGTCTTCCTGTGCTTTCTTGTCTCACGTTTTCCACTGACTCAAGGAGAGAACAACTACATTGAATCAATAGCTTCATCTAGCGCAAAGAAAGTTGGTTCTCTTTGTTGCGCCAGAAGGTTTTTCTTGTCTGAGTCCTTTCTTTAAAACTACCATTCATCCTCACGTTGCATAATGTTGCCATATATGGTCTGGTGCCTCTGCTGTTCATCTTGAAGTCCCCAACAAAATCCAGAGATGGATATGCAATGTGATAGGTCCTGACATCCTCACAGACATGGTGTGGCTTCCCTTTGTCTTTTCTACAAATATTTTCATGGCAACTGCTCTGACAAGCTACTTTCACTGGTACCCAAACTGCATGAATTTAAGTTGGTATCACGGTTCCACCTTTTCACTCTCAAAACAGTTAAATGTAACTTTTAATTTAAAAAATATCATTACGTATGTTGACTTAGGAAAAGAGTGTTTCTTTCAGGAAGGGAGATATTTGAAAAAAATCCAGGATGCAGATTTATATTTTGGTAAGATTCGATAGTAGCACCCTCAAGAATTTTCCGTTTAAGTTACTTTCTCTTTTAATAACGGTGTCCTTTTTATATATATATATATATATATATATATATTTATTTATATATATATATATAAAATTATAATTTTGTTATTCCAGTACGAAAATATGGACAAGTTGGTAAATTAGTTGAAAGTTGGATCTATGAAGTGGAGTCCAGAGTCCGGCCACTTAGACATTATGTTATGAAAACAAAAGAATGCTTTCATTAAATGATGACCCTGGGGCCAGCCATGTTTTCAGGGTCTCAGTGTCATTATCACTAACTAGACCAATCCAACAGTATTTTATGATAATGCTGAGTTTTGTTTTTACAGAAAATGCAATCTCATATCTTCTTGCATTAACAATTGTCCAGTATATATAAACCCAGAAATAAAAAAAAATATTTTGAAATCAGTTTTTGAAATTGAAGTGATCAACATTAAGAAGTAGAACATTAATACCCAACAAATAAAGTAAAATTTCCTAACTTATCATTCTGACTCAGAGTTTTGCGGAAATATCTACTCGTCAGTGGGTTCGATAGATTGGACTTATTTACCAATACTATATATTTCTTAAAACAACTTTAAATTTCTCTAAAAAGATTTTAATTTTTCACGTCAATTTATTTTAAAATTAATCTTCATAAAAGCAACTTACTATTTAACCACCTGATGAGCGGATACCATTTTTACAAAACTCTGGCAAGAAGATAAGTTTGGACATTTTATTTGCTTACTCGCAGACACATATACACACACGCCCTCTCTCTCTCTCTCTCTCTGATATATATATATATCGCCTAAACATAGCAAGCATATTTCCGCAACATATTAAGAAAACAAGTCTTACGCCTCGTTTGGTAGCCGCTAAAACATTTTTCCAGGATTTTTTAATTAGTTTCTTCCGACGTTCTTTCAAGTCCATATAACAAAGTTCCTTTATTCTTTGCTTCTTCTCTTTACTCTTGGCCTTTAAGAAGAAAAAGAGAAATTAAAAAGATTATTCTATAACAAATAAAGCGTTTCATTTTTGTTTTTAAAAATGAAAATATAATCTTCCTGCAATTTCAATTCAATGTAAAATCAACTCATCTTTTACATAACAATCTTTATTATAAAAGTCTGTGAACATTGCTTGTGTGTTTGCCAGAAGTCATATATAGAGAGTGGGTGAAAGAAAGATGTAAATTCATTATCGTGTAGGAAGCGGTGGGAGAGAATGAAATAGAGAAAAAAAAACGCTTTCTCTCTTTCCACCTCTTTCTCCTTCCACCTCTCTCTCCTTCTACCTCTTTCCCTTTCCACCTCTTTCTCTTTCCACCTCTCTCTCCTTCTACCTCTTTTTCTTTCTACCTCTCTCTCCTTCCACCTCTTTCTCTTTCCACCTCTCTCTCCTTCTACCTCTTTCTCCTTCCACCCTCCCGTGATTGCGTGCGCGCGTGCTTATTTATATTTCAGCTTTCTTTAAACAATATTTTAAATATTTTCATTTCAACTTTTTTCAAACAGACAATATTTTTAATATTGAAAGCAACTTCAATGTTTTATAATCTGAACGTTCAGTGGCTCAACGGGTCACGGGTAATATATATGTTTTAAAAATACGATTTGTTTATACAGTACGTATTTTTATTTCAATTTTCTTCAAACAATTTTTTTAATGTTGAAAGCAACTTCAATGTTTCATAATCTAAACTTTCTGTGACTCAACCGGTCACGTGTAGTATACTTTAAGCGAGCAAAAAATATTGTAAATAAAAGTGTTTTGTAAATAAATATAATGTTTAATAAAATGTATTATATATTTCCTAAACAAAATGCAAATAAATGTAGTTTTAAAATATCTCTACTTTCACAAACTCTTCACAGTAAACACAACAATGATGACCCAACAGGTCAAGGGTGGTCTAGTATTAGAATAAAATTATGTCTTTTAAACGATGATAAAATATTTGAAGGCCTTAGTAAAAATGCGTTGAAATGAGTTAAACGCATTAATATGTATTTACTTTTTTTCATATTTGTGGGAGCAGGAAGTGCTCAATATTGGAGATTGAGCATTTATAGATATAAACATTGTAGCTATAAAAATCAACACTGTATGATGACCATCATTTTCGTGCTTCAAGAGATCTTTAAACCAGGTGCTTATGGTATAGTACTTAATAAAAAAGTGAGTGATGGCTTGAGCGAGCTTCATGAGTTCTTAAATTAAAAGTGGAAAAAAGTTCTAATTGAGAAACTTAATCAGTTTCAAGAAATATGGTTTCAAATAAATTTGGTTTGGTTTAATGACATATCAACTCCTCCTGGGTCATTTAATGCCGAAATGTAATTTTCTTGGGAACTTTGGTAATTTTTCTCTTCGTTTTCCAATAATGGATTGCTGGTAATGTTTTTACAATAAAAATGTATTGCTGGTATTCTTACTAAAAAATATATACTTTTATAATGTTTTGACCCCAGTTTGAGGGTTCACTATTTGTCCATAACTGGGACCCTAACAGGTGCTACCAGACCAGATTAGAGTGGGCGTGGGAACAACAGTAATTAATAGGTGGTTCTACGCTCCTCGAAACCTTCCAATCAGACGCCTTGCTGCTGGTTGTAGTTTATCGTCATGCCCAAGACGAGTTTCAAAGAGTTCGAATCGGAAGATTAGCTTGGAAATGACTTTGTAAGTGGTTGAGACCCTGTACCTATCCACTACATTCACCAAGTCGAGTGAAAATGATAAAGATAAATTACTTTCTCAGCTCAAATAAAAAAGATCTCTAAAATCCCTTCACATTAAATTGCTTACATAAAGACCTATTCATCGGATCGGTGAGTTTTTTTAGGCAGAATAATTTTGAAGAAAGAATATCATAAAATCTCGACTAAATCCAACCAAAGGAACGTGTAGTTTGTTTCGCTGGTAGTCTTTTACATAGAATATTTTCAGGAAGTAGGTTATCAAAACTCGCTAAAGTGATTATCTGACAATGTACTTTTCTGAATAAAGGAAACAGATAAATTAATAACTTCAATATATACAAAGATGCGTGGTGTACGTTGTATAAGGCTGACAGAGAGAAGAGACGTGAGAAAGGGACACGTGAAGAGTAGATCGTAGCAGTATATCATCTCAACATTTGAAAATGGAAGAGCCAGCAAACAGGCGTATATAACTGTTGTTCTGTCATCATCATCACCATCATCATATTTATGACGGAGTGATTCGGGGAAAAGAATACTCTGGCCTGAAACACCATTGTAACCAGCAGCTAAATTAAACTATGTTTTCCTGTCTTTGTCATTATTCTAAGATTTTCGTTTAATATCGCCTGGGGAAGTCTCCTCTGTCCTCTTATTTTCATGTCAAAAATGGTCTTCAAAAATTTAAATGCAACATCAATCGTCGTCAACTGTTTCCAAAAATCTTGTTGTTTTATCCCTTTTCCCGAATAAAGTTTTCCTAGTTTCTTTCATGCTCAGCAACTCCTTGTGTCTTAGTGGCTTTATCTCCTTGCATGGGGCGAAATGAAAAAAAAAAAAGAAATATTTAGTCGCTAGGTTTAATGGTAGCAATGGCTTAGGATAAGAGTTGCCTTTTCCTTTTCTTTCTTTCTTTATGTCGATGGTACATAAAAGGTGAAAACACTTTTAATTAAGTTCATAAGATCGTAGACAGGTCTTACCTCCCAAAGGGCTTCTACTTTTTCTGAAGGGGCGCTCTCAAGTTGTTGTAATAATTCAAAAAGTCTGTTTTCTATATTTGTCAGTTTCTGCTGAGTGCTGAAACCAAAAACAAAACAAAAAGAATATTAACTCGAAAGACAAACAAATGGATTCAGTGGTGTTGTATAACAGTCTTCGGGTGGCGAGCGAGGAGTAATGAGGCAAAGTAAAATTGTTTTGTTGTTGTTTTTTTTTTTTTGAATCAGTACAAGGTGAGCAGAAGATTCAAATCCAGAATCAATCCAAGGTTTGTCAGTCTAATTCAGTAACACTCATCACTTCCCAGTCCTTCAGGGCGAGATTAATAAATTTGTTTGCATTCATGGCATGAGCCTGGTATTTCGATATCTTCACAAAATTGTCCAAATCCTTATATGCGGAAAAAGAATATTGGCTTCATTCCAGAAAATAAGTAGGAGCGAAAAAAAAGAATTGTGCATTAAAAAATGTTCCATTTCATAATCGGTTTAATAATAATAATAAGAGTAATATATTTTCTGACATTTTTGTGGCGCCATACCACAATATATAGATATTGAGCACATTAACCCATAAACATAGCATACCTTAAAACTATTTTTATCATATATATATATATATATATATATATATATATATATATATATATATACACTAAGCGTTGACTAACCACAATAATGATCGGACTCACTTCACTAACAATTTAGTTTGCATGGAACAAACTTGTTAATCGTAGCAAACTTTATATATCTGTCTATATTTCTGAGATGAGGTTTATTTACACTATTTATATTGTTCCTACTGTTGTCCTAATCTTTATTGCCATATTTACGACGTTTCAGCTGTTGCACGTTTCGGCCTTCTTCAGGTGATGTACGTTGGAATATCGAACCGAAACCTTTTTTTTAGTCCACGTGGGTATATTGTTCTAGTTCCACATGCCATGCCTTTTCTGGATATCTCAGTTTCAGTTAATTCCCTTTAGTAACTCAATTCCCCAAATTTGTTGTTCTCTCTGCTGTGGACGGGAATTGAACACGCAATCCTTTGGATCAATTACCACTGGGCTATGGATAAAAGCGTTGGTGGGAGTAATCAAAAAAGTGACTTGACCCAAAGTGTTGTGAGTTCAATACCTGGCCACAGCAGCGGAAAGAAAAACTTGGAGAGTTGAAGATTTAACTGAACTGTGATATCCAAAAAGGAAAAAGGCATGGCACGTGGAGTTGGAACAATCTACCCCTGTGAACTAAATAAAGTGTTCGGTTCGAAATTCCAACGTATATCACCGAAAGAAGGCCGGAGCATACAACGACCGAAACGTCGTGAATATGGCAATAAAAATGAGGACAACAGTCCAAACGATATAAATAGTGTAAACAGTTACAATACCTCATCTCAAAAATATAGACAGATCCTGAAGAAGGCCGAAGCGTATAACGACCGAAACGTAAAACAGCCGAAACATCGTGAATATGGCAATAAAGATGAGGACGACAGTCTGAATGATGTAAATAGTGTAAATAGTTACAATACCTCATCTCAGATACATAGACAGAGCCTGAAGAAGGTCGGAGCGTACAACGACCGAAGCGTTATGAATATTGCAATAAAGATGAGGGCAATAGTCTGAACGGTGTAATAGTGTAAATATTTCATATATCTATCTATTTATCCGTCTGTATACAGGTATGGCGCCACAAAAAATATATATAAAAGTAAATATAAATTTATTGAGGTTAACACCCAGTGACGATAGTCTGTTACTTGCTTAAAGGTGATCTTTAGGCCACATGTGTTATTTTCACTTTATATACACAGGGCAGAACGTTGTATATTAATAACAACCGACTCCAAGATGTCTAAATAGAGTCTGGTCCGTGCCCTGAGCAAGATAGAGAAAAAACTCAGGAGAATAGCCCGTCCTGCAAGCAACAGATTTCAATAAATACTCGCCAATAGCGGAGTCATGAGCCTGTGAACACCCGGATGTTACATGCTCATGTCTACGCACCTGGACCAGAACATGTTGGGCGATGCTAACCTCTAACCTCTGGATAGTTTGGCCCACATAGTCGATCTCACATCGACATTTGTACTGATATAGAATTGTTGATGGGCGGGAAAGACAGCCTTACGGCCCGAGGGGAAAGCCCTTCTAGTTGAAAAAATGCTCCTGACCAATACCGCATTAAAATACCGTTTGATGGAAGAGATTTTTTTTTAATGTCAGATCTACGCTAAATAGAAAAATGAGGTCAGAGGGTGGAGATGGGTGAGTTATTTTTTCTTCATGTCGTAATAAACCGACATATAGACATGGCATCATTGGCGTTTGTGGAGAATATGACAGCGTCTCTGACAGCGAATATGACTCTGACCTTACTTTTCTATTTAGCGTAGATCTCATATTTAATTGGTTAATCCAGACATACCCACAAGTCTATTTTTTAATTTCTGACCTTATGCCCACCTTTTAACGTTAGAAAAAAAGGTAACGATTTCTTTTTAAGTCTCCCTAAGAAGTCATTTTATAACCAGTTACCTACCATCGCCTGAGGAAGTACAATCATAGCATTGAAACATGGGTTTTGTGTAGTGATTTAAAAATGTTTTTATTATAATAAACATATTGTGAGATAGAAAGGCGAAGAGAGAGAAGACATTGACAAAGAGATACAAAATATCGAAGAATTTAATTTGTAACAGTCAAAACTAATTGCGTATTGAAAGCTTTTTTAAGGCAATTAAACTGGATATTGCATTATAAGTTGATGATTGCATCTAATCTTTGAAGAATGTCCAATTTTGTTGTTGTTTTTTTTTTTTTTTACTGATTATTATTATTATCATTGACTTAACACGTTTAAATGTTTTCACTTCAGTGTACATATATATATATATATATATATATATCTCACCTGATACGGACTTTACTTCTTCCAAGAAGACTGATATAAACGTCACTGATTTTCTTTTTAAGCATTTCCCAGTTCGATTCTTTGTCTGCAGTTAAGCTCGATCCTGCTGAGTGTATCCTGTCATTAGAAAGAATTTAAAAAAGGCGTATCAATCATTATTTCGCATATACGTTTTAAGACACAGCTTTTCCCCACCACCATCTGATCGTCTTGTCCAAAAGGCTTAGAAGACAACAACTGCATTCCTGAGACGTGTGATTTTTTTAAACATTTTAACAACTTCCCACAACCAGGATCTCGAACTACGGTCAAAGTAATTAGCAATCGTTTTGTCTGGTCTAACATGCAAATACACATAAAAGAAAAGTCTGGACTCAGACATGTTTAAACTGTCAAAAAAGAAAGTTACCAGACATACGAAATCTCCTCCTTGTAAATTTGCCGGACCTTACGCCATTTTGAATATCGGAAAGAAACCCTATTACTGTCGTTTTATCGTAAAAGTGAAATGGTATAAATTGAAATTCCAAAAAACAGAAGAGATTTGTAAATGTTCATGTAATCCATACTATAATAGTTAGGATTTTTTTTTTACATAAATATAGCAAAACGTCTTTCATTCAATTAAACAACTATATACCGGGTGTAACAGCAAAATTGTCTAAATCGTGCCACAGCATAATTGTCCATCCCACAAAATCTAAAAAAAAACCCACTAAACTTCTGAACTGAATTTCTTTATTCGAGGTTTTCAAATAAGACGTTTAGCCATCTTGACGCCATTTTTTCATAAGAATCACTGAAAAACCCTCTGAGTTATTCAGCTAAAAAAAAAAGCAGGTTAAAATCGTTTTGTGTCAGTGCCACTTTATTGCCAAATGAGCAATGGTAAGAGGAAAAAGATCATTCAGACCTTCGGTAATGGTACCAACATTTATACTTTGAGTTCCATCCTAAATTAAAAGTTTATTCAAGAACCATCAAGAGAACGGTCATGGGTTAACTAGCAGGGACTGTATTAGAAAATCATTATTATCTCAAAATAATTCTTATAATCCAAAAACATTTTCTGGCTTTAAATAACCTGCAAAAGTTTGATAAGCCGTAAAAAGGAAGTAATCAAAAAATCAATCAATCAGTCAATTCGTGGGACACGAATGAGGAATGGTAGGGACGTGGCAGGGGAGCCAAGGGGGCGTTATTTAGGAAAAAGGATGACGACAAAATTTAAGGATGGAGTTCTCTTCATTATCCACTGCTACAAATAGTCATATTGATTTATCCAATGTGTTCCATATTGGTCAGACTAGTCAAGATGTTATCCTGTCTAAAGCCAACAAAATAATTTGCTGGAGTCAAGTGAGGATAAAAGCCGCAGAAGAGAGCCTCATTCGGAGAAAATCAAATTTTTTTTGCAAAAAAAGTCATCGAACCAATCTTCAGAAACGCCAACATACAGATTTACTATTCTGGATTCGTTTCGAAATTCAAACAAATATCACCTAAAGAAGACCGGAGCGTACATCGGCCGAAACATCGTGAATGTGACAATAAAGATGAGGACAACAGTCTGAACATTATATATAGTGTAAATAGTTACAATACATCTCAGAAATAGAGACAGATCCTGAAGAAGGCCGGAGTGTACAATGGCTGAAACGTCGTTAATGTGGCAAAAAAGATGAGGACAACATTCTGAACAATATAAATAGCTCACCTCCGAAATACATACAGATATAAATTATCTAGACCAGTGGTTTTCGAAATTTTTTTGTTCAATGCCCCTCTATTTGTCAGAATATCACCACCCTCCTTTCCAAGATTGTCTGACTCAAAAAGGTGTATTCCAAAAAATATGCATAGATTATTTCAAATCTTCATTCTTTTCCATATTAGTACATAGACATTTACATGGATTAATTTTATAGAATGTTATTACCCTCATGTATAGCCTTAACTGTACACTTGATTATGGCATCAATAAGAGCCAATGGAAACTGCTAGATACTTTTCACATAATGGCAGTACAGTAGCTCTGATATTATGACAGTGTGGAAAAGTAAGGTGCCAAACCAGAATCACCACCCACTTTTCACTGTCAGCAGCTTATTTCACACTTGCACAGGGTTATTATTCTGTAAATAGACACATACGACGGCATCAATGCAACGAAAATAAAACTGAAAACTGAAACCTCGAATCATGTACTGATGTAGCCTCGTCGATCCAAAACTTTCATATGGATGTCATGTATGGCACTAAACCCGTTCAGAAATATCTAAACTGTCAGCTCTATGCAACCGTTTCCTAAGAACAATGATGAAAAACGGCTTTGGGCAAATAAAGATTGAGGGCCTTGACAAAGATCATCATTCTTTGAACATTGTGGACTGACGCTATAGAATCACAAACAAGGAATAACTGTACCAAATAACAACAACCACATTAACTGAGGAGTACCAACAGAAGCAACAGCTAAAATGGATAGTACATGTAACTGGAAGAGAAAATTATCACCTAATCAAAATGTTGACATTCCACACTACATAAGACAAAACGTTAGGAAGGAAACTCCATCAATACTAGAAAGAGTGATAACAGCCACTGGACTTGAGAAACCTGTTTTTCTGAAAAGTTGCTTTAAGGGAAAGATTTTATAAATTTCACACCAAAGCCGCACTGGCTGCTTGATCAATGAATGTCGAATGTTTCCTTATAAGGAAACGGCTAATATTACCATTACCATCTCTTAAAGCTGGCTGTATAGTTAAAAGTCCCCATTAGGCTTTCTGGAGCGGATAGACAAGACATCAATGACAAGTCTGACATTGTTGTCCAACTTCCAGACATACTCGGTTTAAGGCAATATCAGGTTGAAACATTGGTTCTCATACGATCACCGAAGTTAAGCAACGTTGAATCTGGTCATCATCAGTACTTAGATGGGTGACCGCGTAAGAATACTGTAAGCTTGGATGTGCGGCTGGTGTAATGGATAAAGGCTCAAAATGAGAAATCGGGGAGACAAGTTCGTATTTCCAGTCGGGTTAGTTATATTTCCTTACGAGCGATTATCCTTAGGAAAAGTATAAATCCACCTCTTTTCCCCCAGCTATGGATTAAATAGTAAGAACTGTATCAGAAAAATATCACCCCAAATTTTTATAATCCAAAAATATGTTTGGGCTTTAAATGACCTTAAAAGGGTTGATAAGCCGTAAAAAAAAAAAACAAATCATTCAATCAATCCCGACAACCGAGAGTCTCCATTTTATTTACGAAACAAATTTTTTTTTTTTTTTTTTTAGGTTTTATTACAATTTTTTTACAAAGATTAAAGACATATTTCTACCTAAAAGCATGCAATGAATTTTTGATTTGACATCTGTGGGAATTTATTTTTAAACAAAATGTAAATATTTCAGAAAATTCAGTTATACTTTAGAAGCGTGTCCAGATTAAAATCAAGGGAGATAACTGACTTAAAAAAAACTATTTTCACTATGTTTTCTGATAAAATTAATCTTCCTAATATAAAGTTCATTTAGTGATGAATAAATCTTGAAATTTTCATTGAAATCGAATCATAACCTGACTCTTCATTTTTTTTTTTTTTAGATAGGTTAACTGTTTTCAAAGTGCAAAGATAACATACAGATTGATTTATTTAAAACTGTAGAAATTATTATAATTTCGTAATCTTAGTTCACGCGCCCTCTGGTGGTCACGAGATGGATAAAATTGTCGGGGCAATAAAAGGAAGAGAAGACAACTCACATCACTTTTATCTGAATATCTCTGAGTTTGTTTTTCTGCTTGTTAAGTGATTCGCTTCTTTCCTTAATGTGATCTGTCAGTTTTACCAACTTGGCCTCACTAAAAGTCACAAAAATATGGCAGCTGTTTTACACACACGAAAGAAATTTTACTGTGGTTTGAAACGTTCAAAATTAATTTAAAAATTAAAGAATTAATTATACATTTTAATTCCAAAACAGAAAAAATAAAAAAAATTAATTTCGAAACAGAAAAATAATTTCCCGGAAATAATATGTGGGGTTACCTCCTCCTAATTTTCGAAACCGCTACTAGGAGACGCTTTCCGGTTTATAACGACTCGGTGATATCTTTTCTCGTCCTCTTTTCTCATTTTTTCGGCATAGTCGTGTATCATGTAAATTTATCGCGGAAGAACGCGTTCCCTTTTTGGAAACAAGCATGAACAACGCACACATATACGTACGCACCTTTCACTGCATTTTTTCTAGGACTTTCTCCTACACTAAACTACACATATGCAAACAATTCACTAGCTTAAAATGTTTTCTCCATTAATGTTCATTGTTCAGTAACACACAGCAATATTCTATTGTATATGTTAATGCATTATCATTTGTTTGTACACACACACACACACACACACACACACATATATATATATATATATATATATATATATATATTGGTCCTTGTTGTTTTCTTTACATTTTTTATGTGGATTCATACTCCGAGTCTACCATGTTGGTTGATTGTGGGCATTTCAAGAGACACACGTATTTATCTCTCATCGCCGACACCGGCCCGCAACAAACAGTTAATGAATAGTATTATTGCAAATAGCGAAACAAATTATCACGTCAACATTTCATTGAAGCTTAATTTGATTTGCAAACGCTTCAGCTGACAAAATATCAGAAGGTAGTTCCCCGACAAACATTTTCTTTTGTATTAATAAGTCCGTAGCCTAATGAAAAAAAAACCTTTACACAATATATATATTTAGTTTCAATGTAATCTTCTTTCTTGTCAATGTAGTTAATTAGAGGACAATATAGGTACGTCACTCCATCCTGATGGCAAAAAAAAAAAAGCGAAAACAATCACCAGGATAAAACATGTCGAAAAAGACTTTTTCCTGTGAGAGAATTGGAGAAAAGATAATCTTCCTTCTCTTCAGCGACGACTCTAGGGTTGCTGGCACCCCCGGGCAAACTGAACTTCAGCGCCCTTACAAGCTTTTTTTTCTTCTTTTTTTTAAATTATCACAAAGGAGAAAAACTGAAAATCTAGAATAACGAGTTTATTACAATATACAACTTAATACAATCTAAAGAATACATTTATTATCCTATCTAAAACATTTATTTTCCTAGCCTTTAGATCAGCAGATCTTTTTTATGGAACTTTCTACACCTATTTTCTTTATAAGATAATTTTCTTTTTATACAAAATCGCCAAAGAATTTAATCGGTCTTGTGTCATGGACGACCGGAAGTACGATTTTATAAGCTTTAGTTTTGGAAGTTCCCAAACTATGACGTAGCAGCATGATGGCGTTCTCGTCCTTGATGGTGCCCCGGACGTCTGCTCAAGTTGCCAGTACCTTGAGCCAGTCCTGCCTCTCTTATCTCGAACATTAACTAAGGCTCATACAAACACAATACTAGAAATTAATGCGTGAAATTTAAAAGGAACACCATTTATTACAAATGATTTAGCAATGTCAAGAGAATTTGTCACACGTCTATACTTACTTCCTTTTGCCGGCTTCGATAAGAGCTATTTGTGTTTCCTTTAATTCATCCTCAATTTGACGAAACTTGAGAATTCTTGTAATATTTTGGTAATAAAGTTCTGTACACAGCTCCATAACTTTTTCGGGAGACTCAAAATAAACATCGACTTTTTCTAAAGGCTTCTAAAAACGAAAAAAAAAAAAAACAACACAATTTTCATATACATCACAACTTCCGTCACTTTCTCACCAATGTGACGTGGCTTCCCTCTGTCTTTTCCACAAATATTTTCATGGAAACTAGTTTGACAAGCTTTTTCCCCAGGTGCCCAGACTACGTGAATTTAAGTGTGCTACTAGATGGGCATTTAGGTCCCACCCTTTTACTGTTGAATTAGTTAAAAATAACCGCCTCTTCTACTGCAGTAGTTTATTTTCTCGCACTTCCCAATTGTGAATTTCCCTTCCGTTTGCTTGCTTCCCTGAAAGTTACAATCTTCAAAAATTTAAATGCAATGTCAGTCGCCATCTTCTATCTTCTTGGGACACCGTTCAGCTTTTCTTCTTTCCTTAATCCCCCCTATACCCAGTCTTTTCTCTCACTTTCACTCTCGGTAACCACTAAGTGCTAGTGGCATTCCTGACTTGCTTGGGGTGAAATGTCTAAAAAAATATTTCGAAGTGCGCCTTTATAATGTATAAAACTAGATAATATAAGATAAAAATAAATCGATTTTTCTTATCATTTTCTAGTTCTACCATTAATGGAATGGTAAAAGTAATTCCCCTAAAATTAAAACCACACATTTGACATGTCTTAAATTGCTATTGAAGTTCTTGGAGCTTCAAAAATGCTCAAAAATAAATAAATAAAATGTGATTTCCAAATTTCCAATTTCATTGTCTAAATATAGACACATAAAAGTAGGCTTGGTGGCGCCATCATGTGGATGTTGCGGTAAGCACATCACGTGTCACTTCCAAAAGAATGGAAAATTTTGGCTTTCTCTAGCCTATATAGGAACCCACTCAAAGCTAATCAGGGGACTCACAGCATGCACACGCAAAAGTACACACAGCGGGTACACACATGGCGAGTACACACATGGTGTATTCATCGTGCCGTATCGAAGAAAGCCCCCCCCTCCTTCGGACATACACTCATTCAGGGCAACATGAGATAAACGACGGCTGAAAAAGAAAGCTCATCAGTGAGTTACTGATTTCTATAAACATATGAGTACACACTGACAAACTGAACATACCTATATATATATATATATATATATATATATATATATATATATATATATATATATTACAACAAAAAATAAAATTACCTCAGCATCTTAACGGACTTAAATTTAAATCCCCATCACTTAGTAGTACAAAAACTATGTGAAAAAAGAAAAAAACAAAACTGTAAATCCCAGAAAAACACACTCCGGGGCCGTTTATAAAAAACACCACATAGTAGGAAGTGATATTAAACTACAAACAAAAATCCTGGCCATAAATAAACTCCAAACCCAAACCGCTTCCCCCGGGATAAGATACCTTACGATCCCAACCAATCGCTAAAACAAACCCACTTTCATTAACAAGGCGCCAACTAGAAGAAGACTAACTTTGAAAATAAATTTAGAACAATGCTCCGAGACAAGCACTTAGAGGCTGATGATAGCCGTATGAAGAACGGTTTGAAATAGATTATTCCTATATTGAGGTAATTTTTTTTGCTGTAAAAATATGCTCTGTTAAAATAAAAACATCGAGCTCCTGTGGATCAGTTTTAATAATTAATATTACTAGGATACAACGGATTATACCCGGATATATTACAACGGATATATATATATATGTATATATATATATATATATATATATATATATATAAAATATTGTCACGTAGCAACGATTTCATTAACCATATAGGCGTTAGGCTAAAGTAAAATCTTAAATAAAAGATAAAAGAAAGATAAATAAATAGATAAAAACAGAAATTTAATCCAAGCTTCCGATTCCGAGCGAATATATTTATGATCAGCCATACCCCCTCTTCTCTTCACAAATTCTTTCTCTCCTTATCCTCTCTTAATGAACTTAGACGCGAGGATGACCTGGTTCTAAGATTTCGCGTTTGGATTAAATCCAGACACCATCAGGGTCTCATGCTGCGATTCACGGATCGGGACGTACGGAGCATGCGTTATTTGGCCATACTGCGTATATTCTCCTGCGTACCCGGTATGATATATATATATATATATATATATATCCTCTGACCAGCGGCAGTTTAATAAAATTTATTTTAAATTTATTTCTATTGACTGATCAACCCAACCAAATGCCTTAATATAAATTATCAGGAAATGTCGGCCGGCCAAGATACTGATTTATCATTTTCGGCGAATCTTTTTAATATGTTCTTTTATCTTTTTATAGTATAATTTCGCGCCTTTATTTTTAAGTAAGTTCTTTTTTTCTTTCTTTGTTTTTTATATATATAATAAATAAATTTTTAATTTTGAAATCCATCGTCTTGCGTCTGTTCTTTTCGGTCCTCATTTTTAGTTTCAATTTAACACCTCATTGTTCTCAGCAAGAATCGCACAACTTCATCGGCGAACCCCAATATGTCGGTTTAATATCTATGGAAAAAAGGTTAATATCTGAGTTAATTTTATAAAACCAGGATCTTCTGTTTTCGTAGAAAGAATTAAGTAAATTATCACTAGACACGTCGGAACTTTACCCCCCCCAACCAGGCCGAAGCTGAAAGAGCAAAGGCTGAAATAGCAAAAGTTCGTCTGACGAAAAAACATCGAAATGGATAAATTACAAAAAAAAAAAACGGTCAAATATTTTACCAATTCTTTGTCTGTATGTCAAAATGCGCAGCATTGTGAAATCAGCCATTTTAAAGTCGTATGAGCTTGCCCGGAGGCATCTGGCAAAAATTTAGAGCCTGCCGAAAGGGAGACAAACAGACTTATGTAGAATTTTCTAGACAAAAAGAAACCTATTTTCGATAGATGGAGTTTATCGAAAACATCGAGGCAGATCACGATAGGCTAAGGCAATTTCGATAGAGGAGTTCAAAGAATGTGTCCCAGATAATTTGAAACCTACCTCGATGAAAAAAGGGTAGATACTTTTATATGAGATGGCCACCCTCGCTGACGAATACGCGTTAACACATAAACGTTCAAATACAATAATTTGGAAGCGGTCCACACCCAAGACGTGGATCTGGTTCTGGTCCGAATTCGAAGTTTGGTCGATCGGTTAGTTCAGGCCAACTACCCAGTGAATACCAAATCTCAAAATCCTAGTTCTCCGTCACCGGTTTATCGGCAGACGAATGGGAGAAGAGGAACTCCCTGATGTGCCACTACAACCTCGTGTCGAATTCAGCGGAATGCCGAGTCCAGAGCCCTAAGTCAAGAGAGACCCAAAATAATGACAGCGTTACCCTAAATAGGAAACCGAATGAAGATGTGAGGGAATGTATAGGCCATTTATTGTCTAATGGTGCTTATCCCCCGTTGATAACCCCACGAAGAAGAAATCCGTAAAGATCTTGTGGGACACTGGGGCCCTCAGTCCCTGATTGTGGAGAGCTTCGTGCCGTGTGGATCGGATTCGGCCACTGGCGAATTTGTTATCATACAGGGTGTTGGCGGCACTTTGTTAGCGTTCCCCTTCATCGAATCCACCTCACGTCTGGGTTAGTTTCTGGCCCTGTCAAGGTCGGAGGTTCCTTTTTGCCTATGAAAGGCATATCCATGCTGTTAGGAAACGAATTGGCGGGGTGGTAGGTGATACCCACCCTAAAGTAGTTCCGGAACCGGTTGCTTCGGTAGACACCGAAGATATCGAGGAAGAGAATCTCGATATATTTCCTCTGCAGTCAACAGGCCAGAAAGAAGGCCGATGAAAAGACAAACTAGATAATCGATAGGACAGAGGACGAAGTGATAGACCTATCGCAGACGTTTATAAATCCTGATGTGGGATTAAATTATCCTCCCGATAGTAACCCAACTGGAAATAGCGATGGTATTGTTGAGCCCGCTATGGACATTCCATTATCGAGGAGAGCACTTTATAACAGAGCAGGGGGAGTGATTCTGAGCTCACCCCACTCTTCCGTCACATATTGGAGGATGAGTTGAGAAAGTTCCAACTGGATACTTTATTAAGAATGAGATACTAATGAGGAAGTGGAGACCCCGCACATCTCTCCCGCCTCAGAAGACTGGTCGACAGTCCACCAAATAGTACTCCTAAACGGTACAGACCGGAGGTCATGAGGACAGCTCATGAGATCCCATTGGGGGTCACCTTGGCGTTAACAAGACGCACGATAAGATCGTCAGATACTTTTTACTGGCCGGGTATCCGAAGGGACGTGTCGAGCATTGCCGGACTTGCCACATCTGCCAGGTTGTAGGAAGCCGAACCAGAAAATCCCCATCGCGCCCCTACATCCCATTCCTGCCTTCGAGGAGCCATTTTGTCGCATTATCGTAGACTGTGTTGGTCCGTTACCCAAAACTAAGTTAGGGAACCAATACCTGCTAACGATCATGTGCGCCTCGACCAGGTTTCCGGAAGCGATACCCATGAGAAATCTATCCGCCAGAAAATAGTAAAGGCCCTTGCTTTTTAGCTTTTTCACCATGGTCGGCTTACCCAGGGTGATACAGTCAGACCAGGGATCCAACTTCATGTCGGGGGTGTTTCAAAAGTTACGAGAAGTTTGGGTATAAAATCCATTAAGTCAAGCGCCTATCACCCCCAGTCCCAAGGTGCCTTGGAGAGGTTCCCTCCACCTTGAAGAGCATGATGAGAACATATTGCCTGGACCACCAACACGATTGGGACGAAGGTATCCCATTCCTAATGTTCGCTGCTCGCGAATCCGTACAGGAATCGTTGGGGTTCAGCCCATTTGAATTAATATTTGGGCATTCAGTCCGCGGTCCTTTAAAGGTACTGAGGGAAGGTTTGTTTGGGGAAGACCCAGTAACAGAAAATTTGCTGGAATATGTTTCACGTTTCCGAACCCGACTAGCAGAAGCATGTGAACTGGCCATGAGAACCTCCGGTCGGTTCAGCATAAAATGAAA